TTCAATTGGAAGATTAGGTTTTCACCTATAGGTGCGCATATCAGTCAAAGTTCAGGAGTCTCTGGGACACTGCAGAGAAGGCTCGATCTTTCCTCGTGGCGTCCAGGTGCACATAGAGTCGTTGTTAGGAGCTGGGTTGAGGCTCTCTTTTCACGCTGAAGGTGTAGTAGAGGATGCAATCTGGAGAGGAGTGAACAGTGAGGGGGGGTAAGGTGGTCTTTTGCAGACTCATCAAGGTTGCAATGAATCGTGAGGTCTGAAGTTGCGAGAGAGCCGGTAAGGGGAGCTCAGCGGGTGCGCGGAAAGTCATTGAGGGGGGGAGCCATTGTAATCCATAAACTGTACTTTGGAAATTTATATTCATTAAAAAAAAAGTTATGGTTGTCTTTTATCCTCTCATTTTTTAAAAGATTTATTTATTCATTTGAAAGGCAGAGTTAGAGGGAGAAGGAGGGAGAAAGAGAGAGAGACTGAAAGAGGAAGATATCTTCCATTTGCTTTCACTCCCCAAATGGCTGCAACGGACAGAACAGGGCCAATCTGAAGCCAGGAGCCAGGAACTTCTTCCTGGTCTCCCATGTGGCTACAGAGTCCCAAGCACATGGGCCATCTTCTGCTGCTTTCCCAGGCACATTAGTAGGGAGCTAGACAGAAGTGGAGCAGCCAGGATTCACACTGGTGCCCATATGGAATGCCAGCACTGAAGGTGGTGGCTTTACCTGCTAAGCCACAGCACCAGCCCCATCTCCTCATTTTTTTTAAACTATGGTAATACTTCCTCCATTTGAAAGCCTTCCCAGCATGAGGCTGGCATTGTGGCAAAGAGGCTAAAGCTGCCACCTGTAACGGGCATTCCATACTGGTGCCAGTTCAATTCCCGAAAGTTAAAGTGCTGGCTGTTTCACTTCTGGTATAGTTCCCTAAAGGAGTGGAAGATGGTCCAAGTGCTTTGGCCCCTGCCACTCTTGTGGGGAGACCCAGATGAAGCTCCTGGTTCTCAGCTTCAGCCTGGTCCAGCCCTGGCCATTGTGGTCATCTGGGAAGTGAATTAGCAGATGGACGATCTCTGTTTCCGTCTTTCTGTAACTCTAACTTTCAAATAAAATGAGTCTTTTAAAAAAAAAAAAATCCTTCCAGCAGCCTACCACCTGGAGTCCTAGCTCTCTCCCCAGCTCTCAAGTTTTCTTTCAGTTTGGCCCGGCATAGCAGTAGCTCACTCATTACATCTCACTCCCTTCTGTAGGAGTCCCTCTTGGTTACTCCACTTCCACAACCAAATCCAAATTTTACTCAACTTTCAAAACTTACTGGTATGGTCTGAATGCTTGTCTCTTCCTCTGTCAATACGTATGGTGGAACCCTACCCTGAAATGGGATGATATCAGGAGGTGGAGACTTTGGGAAATGAGTAGGATGGGGGAGGAAGGTGATGAGGCTGGAGACCTCATGCATGGAACGAGTGCCTAGGAAGGGTCCCAAAAGAACTTGCATCCTCTCTCTCCACCATGAGAGAAGAGGGCACAGACAAAAAAAAGTCACCTTCCACCACTTCTCTCTCTTTTTAAGATTTATTTTATTTATTTGAAAGGCAGAGTGACAGACAAAGAGGGAGGGGAAGGGGGAGGGGGAGGGGGAGAGGGGGAGAGAGAGAGAGAGAGAGAGAGAGAGAGAGAGAGAGATCCTCCTTTAGCTGGTTCACTCCCCCTCACGGTAGCAAGGGCCAGTGCCTCTACCACTTCTCTTAGTGCAACCCTAGAATATAGCACATGAGCAATAAACACGTGGATGATTATTATTTGGTAAATATATAGCAGGCAAATAATAACAGATTGATCCATCCAAATTCTTATAGAAAATTACTCACAGAAAAATAAAAATGTCTCTAAAACTTCTAAATTACCAAAATATGGCACTGTGGACCAAATGCCACAAGCAGAGGTTTCCATTAGTGATAACTCTTAACCCTAGCAGGCTTTCTAGAAACAGGCACGTCCACTCACTGTAAAGGAAGGACATACCCTCTGAAGTTGTCACAATCTTCTTGTCTTTGGGGGGCAAGACGTGTCCCGCATGACTAATAATCCAAACTGGAAAGCGTTTTTTTGTCAAACAGTACAAATCCTTTGCAAATGGCACATAAAAGGAAGAAAGCCCTGGGTTACCTAAGAAAAGAAATACAGGGTTCAGATTAACCCAAGCAATAAACACACACACACACACACACACACACACACAGGATGATGTATAGACCAGAGGGTCAGTTTCTCCTCACACTTTCTTATACAGATCTACTAATTTGTTTACATATACCTTAATTTAATACCCTTCATACTTCTAGTCTGGGGACTAGAACACTTAGAACATTTCTGTTCCTGCTTTGTTCGCCAATTGTTTCAAACTAGTTCTTCCTCCCTCCATCCAGGTCTCCCAGCTGGAAGGCAGGGCCCAACATGGGATGCATTAGCAGGAAGGCACATCATGAGCGGAGGAGCAAGGACTCTAACCGGCACACTGATAAGTGATGCCTGCATCCCAAGTGGTGGCTTAACTCCCACACCACAACGCCTACCCCACATACAGCACCTTTAAAACCAGTAATAATTATGAGCATCTGTATAAAGTCTCTTCATCTAGGCTTCTATACCTACCGGGAATAATGAAAATAAGCAGCTTAGGCCTGTCGACACTTAGATCATTAAAGTCTGTCCAGGGCCCACATTTTAGGACCTGGGTCTCGCCTCCACCACATAAAATGAATTCCTCATGCACAGGAATTTCTTCCTGGGTTTCCGAGTCCATTTCTAAATAAGGAGAGAAAGGTGACATGAAGAGTCAATAAAATGTAAAACCGTGAGCCAAAGACAATATTCAGGAATAAGAAAGGCAAATTTCAGCATACCTAGAAGGAAATTGCACAAGGATGTATGGGAGATAGACTAGTTTCTATGGATTACTGGATTGCAAAACAAATTAAAACAAACCACAAGAATCATTAGGAACAGGGAGACACATCTTTGATGAAATAAGACGATAGTGGGGTTTGAATCAAAATCAGACTCACCTTTTCTCCCGCTCTCTTCCCCAGCTTAAATCAACAATAAGCATGGATAATTTCCATGCTTCCTTCAGTTCTGTACTTTACCGAACTCTCCCTACCTGACCTGGAGAGGACTGGTACAGAAGTGCTCACCCTTGCATTCTCTAGTGGAAAAGTGGGAGGGACAGTGAACTCCATGGTCGTTTATTTTCTTCTCCTATTAATCCTTTCCTGTCCCAATACTACAAGCATATTGTATGTATTACTAAAGTACTACATTTTTAAATTCTGAATGGGTGGAACAAAAGAAAGGATATGAGATAACACCATGAACAATTTGCTGTATAATCTAAGTATGTGCAAAAATGTAGGCCCAAGTTAAGCACATCTCTCCTCCATCTCTGCCTTGGCCTGTCCTGTCTATTGACGGCAGAGGTCTCAAACCTTCAATGGTCTATATTCACCTTCTACTATTCTTCATTCGTTCAAAGCCCTCTAAAGTCAAAACTCTAAGACTCTCCTAGTTTTTCTCCTCTTGCCACTTTATACTGACCCTGCCCTCTTATTTCTAAGTCCTTACACTCTTCTTCTCCTGTAACTTGTCTTGTATTTATTCCCCCTCCACTCCAGAATGCTTTCTCCCCTTATGCGTTATCAACTTACTGTCTCCCAGCTCCAAACTCATGTCATTGCCTTCTCTGGGATAATGGACCTGGAGGTTTAAATTTTCTTTCCTTTGCCTGCTGATATAACATTGAACTCTATTAGTAGAATACCCTGGAGAGATGTTGCAGGAATAAAGAGCTTTCCCAACCCCTACTAGCCTCAACTCATCTGCACCTCAGGGTTGATACTGCAGCCTCTAGAAAGACCAGGCTTTGGCCAAAGCAATCCAGCATACTTCTCCGCTACCCATTGGGCTCCACCTCCAATTTTGTCCTTACTTAGGTATTATCATTTAGTCCTGGTGGTACCTGTTACAGTTATATTTATACAGAAACTTTACAGTTTTTCTCCTATCACATCTTAATTATTCTTATGTTGGGGCCGGTGTTGTGGGTTCAGATGCGGTTTGTAATGGTGGCATCCCATATGGGTGCAGGTTCGAGTACTGTCTGCTCTGCTTGCAACCCAGCTCCCTGCTAATGCACCTGGGAAAGCAGCAGAAGATGGCCCAAGTGCTTGTGTCCCTGACAACCACATGCGAGACCCAGATGAAGCTCCTGGCTTCAGCCTGGCCCAGCCCTGGCTATTGTAGCCATTTGGGGAAATGAACCAGCAGATAAAACATCTCTCTATGTCTCTCCTTCTCTTTCTGTAATCCTGCCTTTAAAATAAATAAATCTTTTTAAAAATAATTATTATATTAAACCAATCATTTAAGTTATTGTGTGGTTCTTGTTTTCTAATTTGATCTACTGATACACTCATGTGTCTGCAAGGTCTCTATAAATCTTTCTCACCTTAGCTCAGGTCAAATTCTACTTCTTACATGAAGCCTTCCTTGAGCACTGCAGGTACAGGAAATTTTTCCTCTAAACTCACAGCACCTGTCTTTATCCTAAGTCGGCTGGGGTAAAGGCAGCCAGCTAAGTTCTACCTGGAAAAACTTGTTACTCGTGTCAGGCCATGCTCTCCCATGGCACCACAGTCAAGCAATTCTCTGTAAGCGGCACCTGTCCCTTTCCAAATTGAACATCTTAAGATAAATGCAATGCAGGCTGGGGTGTTGTGAAATGGGAAATCCCACATACTGATGTGAATGAGAATGGGTTTCGGTAAGCAACCTGGCATTACCCATAAAAGGCATAAACTCTGTTTCAGTCATTTTGAGGACTCGATTCTAAAACAAAAATCCCAAATATTTTTTTCAGACTAATGCATAGAATGTTATTTATAATAATGAAAAGCTGAAAAATCTAAGTGGTTATTAATAGAAGGTTCAGTTAATTATGACAAACCACTATGCAAAAAATAAAAATTATGTATATGACTCAACATTAAGGAATGATTAAATAAATTATAGTTCAACAGTATGATCAAACATTATGTTCCATCCAAACTGCCCAGCTCTGTTGATTGTAATTTATTTTCTAGCATTTCTAAAATCTCACTTCTCTAGTTTGATGTTATACTGCCTCTTCCATTCTCTTTGTTTATACCTCTATTACTTTTACTGACAGTTAAATGAATTTAGGGAGGAAGGAGAAATAAATATATACATTGTAATCTCCATGTTTAACCAAAAGTACAAAACTGATGTTCTTAAACAACAATATTTAGAAAAATGAAAAACTCTCACTAAAAAAGTGGGGCCCTTCTTGATTCAAAATACATTGACCACCTAATTAAAGTATCACCATACATTTTCATCCAATGATTTTAGTTTACCAATAAATGTCACTGTAGCCCAGTATCCAAAATCATCACAAAATTCAGTATATTTATAAAGGCCTTCTGACATTTATAATGTGTTAGAAACAGCATTAGATGGAGCTGTTATACACAACACTAAATCAGAGCACTGACTCTGAAGACACTGGCTGCACTCACTACTTTCAGCAGAAGAGAATTTGAAGTTATTAACCATAAAGTCAATGAGTAAATACTTAACTTCAAGGAGAAGGCATCTGGGGAGTTTGATTAGCAACAAAATTAGTAATTCAAGTGGGTAGGAAACTCAAGCATAGTCTATAAAAATTGGGAAACAAAAGAGTAACTGCAATTATAAAACACTGAAAACACAACTGAGAAACCTGGAGATAACATGAGCACATACGAGGCACCCTTCATTTCACTTCATTCTTACATTTCTGAATCCCACACAACCACGTAAAAGCAGCACAGGAGAATTTGAGGTACAAAAATTCAAACTCTTTCTTACCTACAAATCCAAAGTAACTTGGTCCTGCAAACAAGTATCAGATTAACAAGGGACAATGTGTTGTAATTATATATTGGCAAGGGTGACGGCTCCACCTTTGGCCTCAGCCTATAAGCAATCTTTCATGAAACCCATTTTGATAAGCAGTCAAACTTACACAGGATAAAAAACAAGTGTGGATACAATCTGTACAACTTGGGCAATCCTATTTACCTATATGGGAAATATATCAATTGCTTATAGTAATGTGTTTCTAATTTTACTTTCTAACAGATTTTTTTCAATTAAATTTTATATAAACCTGGACAAGATTTAAAACAGAAAAAAAGAATTTTATCAGTATAATTTTTAGAGGTTCAACTTATCTTTAATATGAATTACTATAATATTTGTAAGTATTTAATATCACAAATTCATTGGCTGACCAGAGAGGACAAAAGGCTGTAATAATGAAGAAAAATATTTGAAAATGGTTAAAAATACACCTTCTTGGCCAGCGCCGCGGCTCACTAGGCTAATCCTCTGCCTACGGTGCGGGCACCCTAGTCCCGGTTGGGGCGCCAGATTCTGTCCCAGTTGCTCCTCTTCCAGTCCAGCTTTCTACTGTGACCTGGGAGTGCAGTGGAGGATGGTCCAAGTGCTTGGGCCCTGCACCCGCATGGGAGACCAGGAGGAAGCACCTGGCTCCTGGCTTCGGATTGGCGCAGCTGTGCCAGCCGTAGCGGCCACTTGGGGGATGAACCAACGGAAAAAGGAAGACCTTTCTTTCTGTCTCTCTCTCTCTCTCACTAACACTACCTGTCAAAAAAAAAAAAAAATACACCTTCTTAGCTTCAGCATTCAAATAATGTCTACATTTTACTTGGCTACTAAGTAAGAATTCTCCTTTTTCTATGGAAGAACAGCAGATGATAAAAACTGAATTTTTTTAAAGCAAGATTTATATATTTGAAGGCGTTACAGAGAGAGAGAGTGGAAAAGACGAGGGAAAAGACTCTGCAGACAACTGCAATGGCCAGGGCTGAGCCCGGCCAAAGCAGGGACCCAGGAGCTTCATTCTGGGTCTCCCACGTGGGTGGCAGGGGCCCAAACACTGCGCAATCTTCTTCTACCTTTCCTAGGCCGTCAGCAGGGGAGCTGGATTGGAAGTGGAGTAGCCTGGACCCAAAGCATGCCTGTATGGATGCCAGTGTCACAGGCAGCAGCTTTACCTGCTATGCACAATGCTGGCCTTTATAAAAAATTTTTAGAAGTTTGTGTTGTGATTGCCAATCTTCAACGGACCTATAGTAAGCCTGAAAAAGGTAGCATGAGTATTCTTTCAAAGCTAAAGCATATCTAATAACATTTTGCATTATTTATCACTTACGTAAGGTAGATATAAAGCTTCCATAGCTGCCTGAAATGACCAAAAAAAAAAATCTTTACACAATATTATCAATTGTGGACAACTTTGTGGACTGTATTATTGTCCTACAGTGATATAGAGCACAGCATAAACTTTGCATATGTCTGAGCCTCAGATGGTAATTAATTAGTGCCATTCCTGAATACTAGTATTAAATATTTGGTGGCTGGACAGGTGCAGATTTAAATCTTAAGGGTCCAGGGCAGAGATACGAAATTGGTAATTGATAACAAAACAAAATTGAAGAATAAATAGACACAAAAATGTCAAACAGAAGCTTTATTTCAAGCGTTTTTTTTTTTTTTTATTGATCTAGCAGTAAACATTAGCATGTTGGTTTTGTTTGGTACATGAGATGAATCTGATAGTATTTTAACTTAGAAGGCTTTATTTTTTTAAGTTTAAAACATACATTAAAATTGAGTTTGAATTTGATGGAACAATGATACACTAGTTTGTTTCCAAATAATCTTTCATTAAAAACAATTAGGAAAGATAGAGAAAATAATTTTTAAGTCTTCAAAAATTTGTAACCATTAAAAGAATTAGACAAGAATGTAACAAGTTTATAAAAAAGGAAATAGAAAATAAAATTAATATGAGAAGAAAGCAGAAAAGCAACAGAGACCAAAAAGTATGACATATTGAGATGTATAGGATGTTGATAAAGGCATGAATGCAGGAAAACTGAAAGTCGTGAAATGCAGTTAAAAAAAAAAGGGCTGGAATTCAAGGATCTAACCATCTGGCAGAAACAAATGGAAAAAACAGATGAATCCAAACAAAAAAAATAGACAAGTGATGATAATAGAGTAGAAATTAATAGGATAGGGAGAAAAAATTTTATTAAAGAGGATTAACAAAGCCAAAAGCTGGCTCTTTGAAAAGACCTATAAATAAGTAAATTCCTAAGAAGACTCATCATGAAAAGACACAAATAAGAATTATCTGAAGTGAAAAAAGTGTATTATTTCATATTATTCATCTATCAAAAGATAATGAAAGAATGCTATAAAGAACTTTATGCCAATTAATTTGGGAAAATTCTCTCTGACAAAACACACAAAAAATCCTAATACAAAAAGACTAGTAGAATCTTAATAGTTCTCTATCTTTATGTATGTTTTTAATGACACTGAATTCATCGTGTTTTTTTTTTTGGTCCAGAAGAAAGTGTCGGCACTTAAGAAAGAAATAATACCAATTCTTTTCAAAAAATTTATTTGAATGAGAGTCTTCTCTGTCTCTCTGGTTTACTCTCCAAATGCCCATGAAGATGAAGCCAGGAACCCAATCCAGGTCCTTCACAAGGATGTAAGGAACCCAATCACTTGAGTTTAATTTCTCAAAGTGTCTGCAATAGCAGGAATCTAGAGTCAGGAGCCAAAGCAGGTATTGAACCCAGGTACCCCTATATGGGCATCTTAACTGGAGTCTTAACTGGTAGGCCAAATGTCCACCCCTTAAAATTTAGAGGGAGCAGGAGATGGGAGGGTTGCGGGTAGGAGGGAAGTTATGGGGGGGGGGGGGAAGCCACTGTAATCCATAAGCTGTACTTTGGAAATTTATATTTATTAAATAAAAATTAAAAATTTTTTTTTCATTTAATACCAATCTTGGATAGCATCCAGAGAATAGAAACTGAGGGACCACTATCTCAACTCAATTTATGAATCCTGCAAACCTCACTATCACTATCTCACAAAGATATTACAATAAAGAAAAATTATGGGCCAATCTTTTTCATGAAATTACATGCAAAAACTCTATTCTAAATACTAGCAGACTAAATTTGGTGATACATAAAGGCACTGCAAAAAGTTTATGAAAAAAAGAGGAACTAAAAGGTTTCTTTTTTGGCACAAAACATTTTGAAATCCACCTAGTTTTTTCAAAATATACATTTTCACAAACTTTCTGAATATCCCTTGAATGCAAGCGTTTAAAAACTTTTTTAGTGGGGCCAGTGCTGTGGCATAGCAAGCTAAGCCTCCGCCGGAATGTCAGCATCCCACATAGGCGTCGGTTCATTTCCTGGCAGCTCCTCTTCAATCCAGCTCTCTGCTATGGCCTGGGAAAGCACTGGAAGATGGCCCAAGTCCTTGGGGCCCTGCACTCATGTGGGAGACCCAGAAGAAACTACTGGTTCCCAGCTTCAGATTGGCTCAGCTCTGGCCATTTAGGGAGTGAACCAGTGGATGGGAGACATTTCTCTCTGTCTCTCCCTCTCTTTGTAACTCTACCTCTTAAACAAATACATAACTCTTTTTTTTCTTAAGCAACAAATAAACTTATCTTTCAATTGTATTTTCTACAAGCTTTTTGAAATACCCTTATACCAAGCGGTAACAGATGACAACCAAATTGTATAAATGTTAGAAATGAAAGATTGTTTAAGTATTCAAAAATGTCATTATCACATTAGCAGAATAAAGGAGTAAAATTATATAATCATCTCAGCTGACATAGAACTTGTCTTTTAGCGGTCTTTTTAAATCTGCTGCACCATGCCTCCACTCTACCTCTCCATCAACATTACTGCCAAACCCATGCTATTCACTCATTATAAAGACTTCTGTGTAGTAGTAACTATGGCTCATGACACATTTTATAAAGAACTACAAGAGTGGAGTTCTAAAGTCACCAACACAAAGAAATGATAACTGTTTAAGGAGACAGAGATGCTAATTACCCTGATTTGATCATTACACATGGTATTTATGTCACAGTTCTCTATAAACAAGTACAATTAAAATAAAATTAAAAAGGTTACTAAAACTGAATAAAATTAAACCATTTTTAAAAAGGAAAAATACAGTATTTCATTTTAATAAGAAATTATGAAAGATAAAACAAAAATAATCAAGCAGGGCTATCTATATAATAATAAATGAATATTCCATCATTTTCTATAATCACACATGTATATATAAGCATTTATACACATTATTACATAAATAATTATCACTGTTGGATAAACAGGAACATGCTACATACATGTCCATGCACTTTGTTTCATACACTTGGAAATCCCATCAAAACAAGTGGTCCAATTTATTATCAATGATTCCAGAATATGGATACATCATAACTCATGACCATCTTCCTGCTGACAGGCACTCAGCTGGTTCTCAGGTTAGAACAATGCTTCAGTAAGTCCCCTTAAAGCTCCATGTTCTTACAGACTGCCATATCCGTATGCATTGTTTTCATACACCAGATTCCCAAGTACGGAATTACTGTGTCGAATTTTAGTTAAGTGCTGCCAGATTCTTTTCTTTAAAAAAAAAAAAAAAAAAAAAAAAAAAAAAAGGAACCTAAGAATCACATTTCTTTTAGAGAATCAGGAAGATATCTTTCCCTTTACAATCATGTTGCCACTTGTAGTCTTTGGGTACAAAATACTTCACTCTTTAATTTACATGTCTTTAACTACTATTATGTTTGGACATCTTTTCACTTTGTTAACCTTTTGAACTTTCTTTTCTTTGAATTGTCTATTCATATTGTCTGTCTAGGTTCCAAGTAAGTTACTTAGCTTTTTCTAATTTGTCAGAAAATTTTAGGGACTGGCATTGTGGCGAAGAGGGGTAAAGCTACCGCCTGTAGTGCTGGAATCCCACACAGGAGCCAGTTCGAGACCTGGCTGCTCTGCTTCTGATCCATCTCCTTGCTAATGTGCCTGGGAAAGCAGCAGAGGACGGCCCAGACTTGGGCTCCTGCACCCACAT